CAGCGGTTTCTGTCCACAAGGAAGACAGAGGAGTCCTGTAACAGTAATTGTATTCATATAAAAAAGGATGAGGCCATGGGACATTTCTAATGAGATTTCACCAATTGTTGGCAGACACAGCCTCCTTTTCATCCTAATTTTCTTGGTCACATCTCCCTTTCCCCATTGGCTGAAGTCCTGGAGAGGTACAGACTTCCCAGTGCACCTCCTACATATCCCCTTAATATGTACCTCACTTCTATAGCTAATGATATTGATGGCTGTGTTAAGTCTTTGTTGTTCTTCTGGAAGTTGATGAATTTAGCAGGACCTTGGCTGAGCAGCAGTCTGTGTCATCAATTCATAACATTTTGTGCAGCTGATGGCTCCTCCTGTCACTTCCTTATGTCCACGTCCCTGGCCCTATGTGCAATGAGGTTGAGGGGATCAGTTTGTAAAGAGGCTTTGTTGTTGTTCCTTTGCTGGGGTTGCCCCGTTTTGGGGCCATCCCCCCTGGAGCAGGGTGTCCCCCCTTGGTGCAGGCGCAGGGCTCAGGCAGGGCTGAGCCAATCAGAGCGCGCGGCGCTGATGACTCATCAGTGTCCAGGCAGAGCCGCAGCTGCCAGCGTTCCCCAGCTGGAGCCCAGCTGCGCCCCTCCCCCCCGGGCCTTGGCGCCCCCCTGGAGGGGAATTTGGGGAGATGGGAGGGGGGAGCGCCAAGGCCGGGCCCCCCCGCGCTGTGGTGGCGGGAGCGGCTGCAGTGGGGAGCGAGTGCGGGCGGAAGCGGCCGAGAGCCCAGCGCTGCCCCAGGCCGAGCTGGCCCAGCTGCATCCGTGCCCCTGCGGTGGGATGCTGTGGGACTGGGGGGGAAGAGGGAGGCGGCAGTGGGTGCTGGGCCTGGGGGCAGGAGGAGAAGGGAAGGAGAAGCAGGGTTGAAGAACAAAACGGTCTAAGGATTCACGTGGGAGGAGCAGGTGCAGGAGGAGGAGAAATAGTAGGAGGAAGAGGAGTGGGAGGAAGAGTAGGGCCACAGGAGGAGGTGGGAGAGAAGGAAGAGGAAGCAGGACAACGTTCCATTCTCCCTGTATGTGCAGTTCCAGGAGTGTTGCCCTGGAGGTGACTGGGGAGGGGATCCACGATTTTGATGGGGCTGAATCTTGGTGTTTCTGAACTTTTTTGGGCTAAATATTGGTGCTTTGTTTTTTTGCAGGGGCTGAATCTTTGTATTCTGGAGGGGGTTTTGCCTGAATTTGGTGTTTGGGTAGTTTTTCATCATTGTTTTGATGTTTGGGCTGAATCTTGGTGCTTTGCTTTGTTACAGACACAAGATGCCCAATGACTTCCTGAGATGAACTTGGGCATGGAGGAATCCCCACCCCAAGGCGCTCTCCTCTCCTTTTCCTCCTAACCAGGAATTTTCATTCCCAAACTGTGTCCAGATGGCAGAGGAGGAGAAAAAGCCCCAGAGATCCTGCATGAGGAGGGGCTGCAAACCCAGTCCAGGGAGCTGCGAGGAGGAAAGATCCCCCCAGTGCCAGGAACACGGCCAGAGATCCAGCCGGAGCTCAGAGCTGGGGGAGAAGCCCCACAAGTGCTTGGAATGTGGGAAGGGCTTCAGGTACAGCTCCCACCTCATCCAGCACCAGAGGATCCACACTGGTGAAAAGCCCTATGGGTGTGGGGAATGTGGGAAGAGCTTCAGCCAGAGCTCCAGCCTGAGGAATCACCAGAAGATCCACATGAGAGAACAACACTATGAGTGTGGGAAATGTGGGAAGAGCTTCAGAAATATCTCTGACCTGATGAGACATCAGGTGGTCCACACGGGGGAACGGCCCTACACCTGCTTGGAATGTGGGAAGAGCTTTGGGTGGAGCGCCGACCTGAGGAAACACCAGCGCATCCACACTGGGGAGAGGCCCTATGAGTGTCCTGAGTGTGGGAAGAGGTTTCAGACCAGCTCCAATGTCCTCAAACATGAGCGGATTCACACAGACGAGAGGCCCTTCCGCTGCCCCGACTGCGGGATGAGCTTCAAACGCAACTCCCACCTCATCAGGCACCGGCGCATCCACACTGGGGAGAGGCCCTACGAGTGTCCCCAGTGTGGGAAGAGCTTCTCACGGAGCTCTAACTTGACCCGACACCAACGTAGGCACCAGTAAGGGAAGCCCTGCGAGTGCCCCGAGTGCGGGAAGAGCTTCGTGCGCTGCTCCAGCTCCATCCCCCATGGGAGGATGGGCGTTGGATGATCCCCAGTGACCCCCATTGGGCAGAGCCCTGGTGATCCGTGGTCCTGGTGATGCGTGTTGGGAAGACACCTGGCTGGGAGGCTCCACATCTTCCTGGCTCCCTGTGGGCACCTGGATGAAACAGGGGAATGAAAATTCAACAGGATACAGAATGACAATGGGAATTGTTGACTTTGAATCTTCAAGAACCTTTTGCCTCAGGAGCTGTGTGGGCAGAGAAAAGGGGGTGACACCGGGCTTGGGGGCCCAGAGGTGAGCACACTCGCTCTGGGGGAGGGAGGACACGACCCCTAGGACCCCCCCTCACCTTCCTGCACAGGCAGAAGCCGAGCCCCAGTGCCAGGAAGACGAAGCCCAACACTGAGACTCCAATCCCTGTCAGCATCTTGCTGTGGGTGGCGTCTGACATCATCCCTGGGGGGTCTGCAGAGGTCAGGACCCCCAAAACTTCTCAGAGACACCCCAAGCCCCTCCAAGGACCCTCCCAGTCTCTCCCAGCCCACCTGAAACCTCCTTTGGAGTCACTAATTTTAAACAATTAAGAATTTTAGAAAAATTAGGGATCTTGGCTAGAGATAGGCCTTGCTGGAACTAGTTCGAGTTAATGATGAAGTGAGAAGCAGGATTTGAGATAATGAATCTCGGACTTAGATAAAAAATTACTTTTCATTGTATGTTTGTTCAGCTGTGCTTATAATGAGAAAAGAGAAACTGATAAACGGGTTCAGGAAGATCACAGACCTTACATCAGGAAACCCATTTCCAAGTCACAAGGGAGGAAACTGGAGTTGTACCAAATGTCCTTTGTAATGTCAACCATTGTAAAGGTAGAAAGGTGAGAGTGAGGAAGAGCGGTTTTCCTTCATCTCCTGATGACCCCTCCTCACCTAAACGACCCCCTCCTCAAATTGGGGAGCCAACCATGCAGGTGTAATGACTTTTTAAACTGATTACCGTGCATTTTAATCCAAAGTGGGGAACGGAAAGTGTTAGCATTATGCATATGCATTAGTATTAATATGTATTAGTATTTTGGATATTCAAGACTTTTGTACATAAATAGACACTGGAATCTTTTGTCAACTTGCAGAGCGTATTAAGGGGTGACTCCCGCACTCGCCCAGTGCTGGGATTAAACATCCACTGTGTAACTTTAAACTGTTGGAGAGGTTTTTTGTCCATTAACAGATTGATATTGATACTGGATCAATATTGCTGTTTTGGTAAATCACTGCCAGTCTCTTCCCAGCCTCCCCAGGACCCAGCAGAGCCCCTCCTGTTCCTCTCAGGATCCCACAGCCCCCTCCCAATTTCCCCCCACTGCCCCAGGACCCCCAAACCCTCTCCCAGTCCCTTCCCAGCCCCACCAGGACTCATCAAGACTCCTCCCAGTCTCTTCCCAGCACAACCAACCTCATCCCAATCCCTGCTTTCCAAACCCCCAATCTCCTTCCAGCTCCTCCAGGCTCACTCAAATCCCTCCCAGTGACACCCAGCACCCCCAAACTCCCTCGCAGGGTCCATCAGGACCCCCAGAACCCCATCCCACCCTCCCCAACATCCTTCAAACCCCTTCCCAGCCATCCTAAGTACCTCAATCCCTTCCCCAGTTTAAACCAGTCTGTCTCAAACTCCCTCCCAGTTCCTCCCAGCACAGCCCAATCCC